ACATATGTCTGGGTCATTTCATTGGAAAATCGCTCCTTTGTGTTTTCTCTTTTAGCTGTAAACTAAAATAGGTTATGCTGGCGCAGCCCTCACTTCAACCTTTGACAAGAACAATAGTGGGCAGCTTGCTTCAGAAAGCTGTTTTACAGTAATACTAGTCTACAGAACAATGTCAGTGGTTTCATGCTGTGCTACACGGTTCAGTAAATGTTTTCCTGAAAGCCGCCATTGCTTCAGTGTTTCTCCTTTTTTCTTCTTTTTCCGTTACTCTCTTATTCTGCTTCAGTCTCTCATTCTTCCTTGTCTTTAATCCAGTAGATTTTTCCTGTGCTCCTTTCAGTCTAAAAAAAAAAAAATCCACATCCACATGAGTTTTGACAGCCTGTCTTTGGTGGGTGTGTAAAATTTGAATATTTCTTCCAGCAGGGACTGTCACTCTGGGGTGGCTTTGTGTTCGACTCTGTCGCTTTGCTTTCCTCTTAAATCTCACTCGGCACTATTTAGCTTTACTATAAATACATAAGTCTAGAAATAAAGCAGCTAAGCTACAGCTTTTTATTTCTATGCTGAATATTTTAGAAAGCAGGAGCCCTTTACTCAGCTGGCAGGTATGTCCTGAAATCCACCAGGCAATTTTATTCTCTTTTTTTAGAGATTTCATTTCTACCAACCTAAAATCACTGAAATTAGGGAACCCATTAAAATCCTGTTGCTTGCTAACATGTTACCTTCACTGCTTGGTTTAACAAGTTTGGACTTAGTGACAGACTTAGACTGATTTTATTTTGTCATTTTGTAAACACAAGTGTAAACAAAAAGAAATGTTGTTAAGTACAGCTTTTTTTTGTTCTTTTTTAATCTCCAATAAAGAGATCAGAAAACCGTACTTTGCTCTAAAAACCCCTTTTTTGCATAGACTTGCTAATGTTGCTGTGGACTAAGTTTTTTTTAGAAATGCGAGGGAGTAACTTTGTGATTGAAGTTGGTGGGGAAACTCAGGGAAACATGGACCTACTGTTATACTTTCATTAGGCAAATTTTCCAAAAGTGAGCTCAAACATCTATTTATTGAATGCTTTCCTATTTTTGAGAACACAAGAGAACCACAATATACTGATATTTACATTAATAGGTAGTTAGAGAGATGCCTTTTAGTACATTATAAATATAGGGCCCAAAAACATCAATGCTTTGAAATTAAACATTTGAATAAGAGCCGCTTCCAGAGCCAAAACTGACATATCATGCATCTCTAGAAGTACAATTCCAATTCCATCCAGTGTGTGTGTGTGTATA